GTCGATTTTTTTTTTCTGAGTCTGTGTTACTTCACTTAGTATAACAGTTTCTAGTTTCATTTACCTACAAATTTCATGATTTCATCTTTCTTTACTGCTGAGTATAACTCCATCGTATAAATGAACCACATTTTCATTATCCACTCGTCAACTGAGGGACACTTAGGTTGCTTCTATCTCTTAGCTATTGTGAAGATATGTAGACCTGGCTGGACTCAAACTCTAGGCACGCCTCTCGCTTGTTGGTACCTACAAATTTCATGATTTCATCTTTCTTTACTGCTGAGTATAACTCCATCGTATAAATGAACCACATTTTCATTATCCACTCGTCAACTGAGGGACACTTAGGTTGCTTCTATCTCTTAGCTATTGTGAAGATATGTAGACCTGGCTGGACTCAAACTCTAGGCACGCCTCTCGCTTGTTGGGATTACAGGCATGCACGCCAGGCTGACAACACTTCGAAGATAACACAGAATGTCCCTTTGCTTTGCTTTGTTATTGCACAGGAACTCTCGCTCTCGAAGGCCATGAGCCAGCGGCACTGGAGCAGCACACACACAACTCCCAATACCAGAACTCCTGCCCCAGCCTGTCATCTTAGACCGGAAGCAAGAGGAAACACAAAACCGGATGTTGATCTCTTCTGCCCTGGTAACGGACTCCATCCCGGAAGTGACATCAGAGGAAGGGCCGGTGAAGCCGGCTGCGGACCCACGTGGGTTCTGTGCGCTCTTCTTCGTGGCTGGAATCGCATCTGCTGAGCGAGTTCGAGCTTGGGCGCTTTGAGTCCACATGGGTCGTTCCGGGAAGTTGCCCTCCGGGGTCTCGGCTAAGCTGAAGCGGTGGAAGAAAGGCCACAGCAGCGACAGCAACCCCGCCACCTGCCGCCACCGCCAGGCCGCCCGCAGCCGCTTCTTCAGCCGCCCGTCAGGTGGGGGTCGGTGGCGTGGCACTGTTAGCCCTGGGGCTCACTGTAAAGGCCCGCCCCTTCGCCTGACAGGCGGGAGAGTGGGTACCCTAGACTTGTACCCGGGCTCGGGGTGGGATGCAGGGGGTGGCCCTTTAGATTTGTGTGGATGGTGCTAGGGATCGAACCCAGGGCCTTGCGCCCTCCTGGCGAGCACCCTCTCAGGGAGCCACACTCCAACCCTTGGGAGGCTCTTTACAGCAGCTGTCATCTTCCTGTATGTCCCGGGCTTTGGTGTCGCCGTGCCATTGGTCCAGGGAAAGAGTGTGTGTCTGGGGTGTGTGTGTGTGTGTGTGTGTTGGGGGTTGTTTTTTCTTGGTTTTGTTGAGTTGCAAGCATACAGGGGGCTGTGCAGACAGGCTGGGTTCAGAATCCAACCGCTGCGATTCGGTTTGTTTCTTTGGGATTCTGTGCTTTCAGCCAAAAGAAAGTTTGATAGAAGTGGGCCGTTACCTTGTAACTCCTGTTCTCAGGAAAGAGCGACCTGACAGTCGATGCTGTGAAGTTGCATAATGAGCTGCAGTCTGGGTCCCTGAGCCTGGGCAAAAGCCAAGCCCCTGAGACGGCCATGGACGAAGACCCGGAGGCAGCTCTCACTGAGAAGTCCTCAGGCACATTCCTTAGTGGCCTGTCTGATTGCACAAACGTCACCTTCAGCAAAGTACAGCGTTTCTGGGAGTCCAACTCAGCTGCCCACAAGGAGGTAGGGGATTGGCTTGGGGTGTGGAACAGTAGGTGGAGCCAAATTCCTGAGTTTTATTTTCTTCCACCCCTGGTGACAAGCAGCTGGTATTTCTGGATGATGTGTCATCTCTCCTACCCCTGTGTCCCTTTACATAGGTACCCTCCTTGAGCAGATAACACCTTTTTTTTAAAAAAAAAACATTACATTTTGTGTGTGTTAGGGGAACACGCATGTGCCATACCACATATACGGAGATTAGAGGACAGTTTGTGGGAGTTGGTTCTCTCCTACCTCTCCTACATTGTAGGCCCCAGGGATAGAACTCAGATCATCAGGTTTGGTGGCAAGCATCTTTGCAGGCTGAACCATCTTTGTTTTTTGGTTTTATTTTTGGTCTTTTTGAGACAGGGTCTCCCTGTAGTCCTAGCTGGCCTGGAACTTACTATGTAGACCAGGCTGGCCTTGAACTCACAGAGATCCACCTGCCTCTGCCTCCTAAGTGCTGGGACTAAAGGCATGTGCCACTATGCCCAGCTAAGCTGAACCATCTTACCTACCCCAGATTCTACTTTTAGTTTGAGACAAGATCTCACTCTGTAGTCTTGGCCTGGAACTCACTAAGATCCGCCTGCCTTTGTCTCTCAAGTGCTGGGATTAAAGGAGTGTTCCACCATGCTGGAAGAGGTTTTTTTTTTTTTTTTTTTTTTTTAAGAAATGGAGCCTTGCTATGTTGCCTTTGGTTGACCCCAAACTTCTAAGCCCATACAATTCTCCTGCCTCAGTATCTCAAGTAGTCGGGACTGTTGGTGTGGGCAGTCTGGCTCAAAGAAATTTTTTTTGTTCTACCCAGGCTAGGGGTGAGAGAGAGAGAGGCTATCCAGGCTAGGGATGAGAGAGAGGGTGCCCAGGCTAGGGGTGAGAGAGAGGCTACTCAGGCTAGGGATGAGAGAGAGGCTACCCAGGCTAGGGATGAGAGGCTACTCGGGCTAGGGATGAGAGGCTACCCGGGCTAGGGATGAGAGGCTACCCAGGCTAGGGGTGAGAGGCTACCCAGGCTAGGGATGAGAGGCTACCCAGGCTAGGGGTGAGAGGCTACCCAGGCTAGGGATGAGAGGCTACCCAGGCTAGGGGTGAGAGGCTACCCAGGCTAGGGGTGAGAGGCTACCCAGGCTAGGGGTGAGAGAGAGGCTACCCAGACCAGGAATGAGAGGCTACCCAGGCCAGGGGTGAGAGGCTACCCAGGCTAGGGGTAAGAGAGAGGCTACCCAGGCTAGGGGTTAGAGGCTACTCAGGGTAGGGGTGAGAGAAAGGCTACCCAGGCTACCCAGGTGAGGGGTGGGTTTAAGATATTTCACAGGTACTTCTTCCTCTTGTGCAGATCTGTGCTGTTCTGGCTGCTGTCACTGAGGTGATTCGCTCCCAGGGAGGCAAGGAGACGGAGACTGAGTACTTTGCTGCTCTAGTAAGTAGTTGTGATGTGGAGGTGGGTGTTCAGAGCAGCAGGTTAGTCAGGCTGCAGAGAGAAAATCATACCCCTGGCCTGTGGGGCAACCTCCACAGGTTGAGAGTGCTTTTGCTATTCTCTGCTGGCTTGGTAAGGCTGGTGGAATTTGCTACCCCACTCTTGTAAGGTGAAAGTCTGCTGCGTTGTGAAGATGAGTTAGAGCTGGGTGACCCTCTAGAAAAAAATATTTCCAAAGTGAATCTGGGGGTCTCCAAGACCTTTTAGTGGCAAGGTAGAACAGATTTATTTCCATAATAGTAAAACATCATTTATTGCTTTTATTCTCATGAATGTGCCATGGAGTTTTCTAGGAGTTACCTAATAGCTGAGGGCAATTTGGTGTGTGTGGGGGTATGTTTGTGTGCAACGGGATCTTACTATGTTAACCCAGGCTGACCTTGAACTCACAGCAGTGTTCTTGCCCTAGCCTCCCTAGCGCTGGGATCACAGGTATGCACTATCATGCCTGGCATGGTTTTTGCTTTCTTTTGCACGGTTGGATGTGGAACTCAGGGCTTTGTATATGGTAGGAGAGCACTGTACCGCTCAGTTACATCCCTAACCCACAAGATGAAATACTCTGTTTTTTGTTTTATTTTTGAGACAGGGTCTCCCTGAAGCCACAAGTGGCCTGGATCTCACTATGTAGACCAAGCTGACCTCTCTCTCACAGAGATCCTCTTGCCTCCTCCTCCAAAGCACTGGGATTAAAGGTGTGTGCCACCAAGCCTGGACAAGATGAAATATTCTTCCTATTTGATAAGAAGAGATGGAGTCATTAAAGGTTACTAGGCCAAAGTCAGTGACAGAGCTGGGATTTGAACCTCAGACACTATGAAGAGGATTCTTGGTCATAACTGTGTGCATAGCATGTGGCTCTCTCTTGCCACTTCTGCTTTCCTGCTTGTACAGTGTGGAACTTACCTAGTCATACCTCTTACTCTGGCCCTCAGATGACAACAGTGGAAGCAGTGGAGTCCCCAGAGTCTCTGGCTGCTGTTGCTTACCTACTGAACCTTGTCCTGAAGCGGTGAGTTCACCTGGCTTGAATCCCAGGACTCTGTGTATGTGTGAAGTTTTTTTTTTCTTTTATTTATTTATTTTATGTGCATGTGTGTAAGTGCACCCATGTCATGCATTGCCCATGGAGAACAGAGGAGGGCATTGCATCCCCTGGAACTGGAGTTACAGATGATTGTAAGCCGCCATGTGGGTGCTGGGATTTGAACCTGGGTTTTCTGCAAGAACAGTTAGTGCTCCTAACTACTGAGCCATCTCTCTAGTCCTTGCTGCTTTTATTTTATTTTATTTTATTATTTTTTGAGACAAGGTCTCCCTGTAGACCAGGCTGGCCTTGAACTCACAGAGATCCACCTGCCTCTGCCTCCCAAGTGCTGGGATTAAAGCCATGCTCTTTCGCACCCAGCTTGCTTTTTGTTTTTTGAGGCAGGGTCTCACTATATAGGCTGACCTGGATCTCGCTATATAGATCAGACTGGCCTCCAAACTCAAATGGGTATGTGTCACCACACCCAGCAAGACACTCAGTTTTTCAAATTTTAGAGATATCTATCTATCATCTATCTATCTATCTATCTATCTATCTATCTATCTATCTATCTATCATCTATCTATTATCTATCTATCAATCAGTCAATCATCAATCAATCAATCAATCAATCAATCATTTATCTAATCTATTTATTTTTGAGATAGGGTCTCCCTGTAGCCCCAGCTGGCCTAGAACTCACTATGTAGACCAGGCTGGCCTCAGACTCACAGAGATCCACTTGCCTCTGCCTCCTGAATGCTGGGATTAAAGTCATGCGCCACCATGCCCAGCTAATAATTTCAATTAAATAAAAAGATACTTCAGGGGGCTGGAGAGATGGCTCAGCGGTTAAGAGTACTGACTGCTCTTGTAGAGGACCCCAGTTTGATTCCCAGCACCCACATGGTGGCTGCAAACCGTCCTTTCCTCCAGTTCCAGGGGAATCTGAAGCTCTCTTCTGACCTCTGTGGCACTGCACAGCACGGGTGCATTCACAGACATGTAGGCAGTACACTCATATACATAAAACAAAAATAATATAAAATAAAAATATTTTAAAAAAAGATACTTCAGATACAGGCACACACCTGTAATCCCAATATTTGGGAAGTAAAGATAAGATCAGGAATTCAAGATCATCTTTGACTAGTTAGTGTTTTGAAGCCAACCTGAGCTACACAAAACCTTGTCTCAAAAATACAAAAGGGCTGGAGTTATGGCTCAGCAGTTAAGAGCATGTACTGTGCTTGCAGAAGACCCAAGTTCAGTTCTGGACCCATAGCGAGTGGTTCACAATCACCTGTCGCTCTACCTTTGGGATCCACTGCCTCTGGTCTTCTTGGAGTCCTGCACTCACCTGCACATATCCATACCCAGACATGTGCACATACACAGAATTAAAAATAAAATCTTAAAAAGGAAAGAAAGAAAAAGAAAAAAACATCCAGGATATTTGAGTGTCAGCTGGTATTCTGCTTCAGGCTCTGGTAGTGGGTTGGGCTGAGTGTTAGAGTCTGGAGAAGGGCTGCCCCGAGGCAATGAGTGGGGAAGGGGCAATGGCTGGATCATTGCCACTTTGGTGAATGATGCGCTGTCTCCTAGGGAGGGGAGAGGAGACAGTGTGAGCTTATGTGTGCACCCCCCTTGTGGATAGTAGACAGTGGCTGGTGGGGAAGATGAGAGAATCCAGAGCTCAGGTGTCATGGAAATCACTATAAGCTGAGTATCAGAAAGCTGAGCTCCTGTGCTAAATTGTGATTTACTAAGTGGTTGGGCCAGCAGTGCTTTTCCCTCAACACAAGGCCTGCCTCAGATGCTCTTCCTAGGCCCCTGGAGTGACCCTCTCTGTTTTCTCCACAGCGTGCCTAGCCCTGTGCTCATTAAGAAGTTCTCTGACACCTCCAAAGCCTTCATGGACATCATGTCTGCCCAGGCGAGCAGTGGCTCAACTTCTGCCCTCCGATGGGTCAGTGTCTGCATCTTCCTGAACTCAGTGGATGTGGTTAAGAATGGGCCCCCTTTCCTGGGAGTGCTTTAAGGTGCTCTGTGGGGCCTCATGGGGGCTTTTTTATGGTTGCACTTTTCCTTCCAGGCTGGTAGAGCTGAGGGACTTTTGAACATTTTTCTTTAAGGTCCTTTCTTGCCTGGCCATCCTTCTTCGGAAGCAAGACCTGGAGTCATGGGGCTACCCTGTAACTCTTCAAGTGTACCACGGGCTGCTGAGCTTCACCGTGCATGTCAAGCCCAAGGTGAGACTGCTTGGTTGCCCTATTGGGAGCCAACATGTCTGAGCCAGGTTGGGGAGGTAGCCTTGAGTCCTATTTTGTTGTCATTATTGTTTGTGATTATATGTGTGTGTGCACACGCATACACGTGTGCACAAAGCACATGCTCACACATGCATATAGAAGTATCCTGCTCTATCACTCTTGGCCTTATTCCTTTATTTTTAGTCTCTCTCTGAACCTGGAGCTAGACTGGTGGCCAGTAAGCCATAGTGATCCTCCTGTCTGTGCCCCCTCCCCTATGGCACTGCGACTAAAAGTGGGTTATAACCCATGCCTGACTTTTTACACAGGTTCTGAGGATTTGAACTCAGGTCCTCAGGCTTGCATAGCAACTCTGACCTGCTGTGCCATCTCCCCAGGCCCAAGTCCTGAGTTTTTGGTCCCTGCCTTTTGAGGCCTTATCCATTTAAATTGAGGAGGTGAGAGGCAGGCCCTTCTGCGGTAGGAGAGTTGACTATCTGGTGTTTCTGAGTCTCTGCAGCCTCCTTGATCAATGACCTGTTGACACATCAGTCTCTCAACTTATCTCTACCCTGGCAGGGATGTGGCAGCCTTGGTGGGGATTTGGAGTCACACAGACTTGAGTTGGGGATTCTTTTTTATTATTGTTGCTGTAGTATTGAGAGTTAAATCTAGGCCTTTGCACATACTGGGCAAGTACTCTAAACTATATTCCCAGCCCTCTCCTTTTTTAAAAAAAAATTTTATTTTGAGTCAGGGACTTACTAAGCTATCCAAGTTGGCTTTGAACTCATTCTGTAGTCCAGGCAGGCCTTGAATTTTTACCCTCCTCCCTTAGTCTCCTGAGCAGCTAGGGTTACAAGCTTGCACCAGCAGGCCCCACTCTGATGGGGAATCTCAGTTCCCCATGTTGTATCACCTGGTCAAGTTACTTGATGTCTCTAAGCCTGGGCTTCCTAACTGTAAAATAGGGATAATTCCAGTCTTGTAGGGTTATTTGGAGTCTCGGTGTTCCTCATGCCCGGCACAGTGCCTGGTTTATAGCAGATGCTCATCTGGTGGTTCTATGTTGCTTCTCAGAAAGTTAGAACCGGGAGCATATAATAATTCCTGTCATGATGTGAAGTGCTATTAGCCCAGTGATTTAGTCAGTTTCCTGTTGCTGTGATAAAACACCATGATCAAAAGCAACTTATGGAAGAAAGAGTTTATTTTTGCTAATGGTTCCAGAGGGAACGAGTCCATGGCAGAGAGGTGTGGGAGGCATGGCAGCAAGTGGCAGGCAAGGCATGGTGGCAGGAGCAGAAAGCTGAGAGCTTAAATTTTCAGTTACTAACCTGAGGTGGGGCACCGTTATGAGTTCTCCAAGCCCTCCCCCAGTGTATACTTTTTCCCACAAGGCTATACTTAACATTCCATAACCTCCCCAAATAGTGCCAGCAAATGGGGACCAAGAATTCAAATATTTGAGCCCATGAAGACATTTCTCATTGACTTCCACACCCAGGGGGTCTCCTGCCTCATTCCCTGTGATTCATGTGATTTCTGTTGCAATGTCACTTTACTGGAGTAGCACTTTCTGACTACCTTATAAAAAGTAGCACTCTTGTTTTATCTACAAAGTATCTTTTTTTGAGACAGTCTCCCTGTAGCCCCAACTGGCCTGGAACTCACTGTGTAGACCAGGATGGCCTCTAACTCATAGAGATCCATCTGCCTCTGCCTCCTGAGTGCTGGGATCAAAGGAATGTGCCACCACGCCTGGCTACAAAGTATCTTTTATCTTCTGGTTTATGTTTGTCATTTTTTTGCCTCAGTCAAGGGTGAGTTTCAGCTGTTCATTGCCACTTCCTTAGTGCTTGGAGCAGTGCCTGGCTTGGTGGTACTCAGCATTGCTGGGTGATTAAATGACTTCAACCCTGTCTGAAGATGAAGGCTCAGCTGCTCAGAGATTAAGTAGCTGGGCTTGCTCAGAACTGTGTGGCCAGTTGGAGAGTTTGGGATTCTGTACTTGGGACAGTCTTGCCATAGCAGTGCGTATGCATTTCCATCAAGCTGCTGGTTGTTCCACCACCAAGATGCTGATCTGGCCTTGTCCCTGCTTCTTGCCCTTCAGATTCGGAAGGCTGCTCAGCATGGAGTATGCTCGGTTCTCAAGGGCAGTGATTTCATGTTTGGTGAAAAGGCCCCTGCCCATCATCCTGCTGCTGTCTCTACTGCCAAATTCTGCATCCAAGAGATTGAGAAGTCTGGAGGTGGGGAAGTCAGGCCCAGAGTTGGCTTTAAACTCCTTCAGTAGGGGCAGTGCAGGATTAGTAATAAAATTCTCTTTGTCTGCCAGGCGCCAGTGAGGCCACCACCACACTGCACATGCTGACACTGCTGAAGGACATGCTGCCCTGCTTCCCAGAAGGCCTGGTGAAGAGCTGCAGTGAGACTCTGCTTCGGGTCATGACCTTGAGCCATGTGGTGAGCTCAGGACACAGGATGGAGTGGGCTGTGGTAGTAGGAAGCTCACTGAGTAGGCAAAAAGCAGGACCTGGTGCCAGGCATGTGCCTCTAATCTCTGCTTAATTAGGAGGTTGAGGCAGAGGGATTGCTTTAGCCCAGGAATTTGAGCAACATGCTGACACCTAGTTTGAAAACAAAGTAGGCTCCGGATTGTCCCTGCCCCGACCCTACTCTTGTATTAAAACCAGAGATAGCACATCATCCATGGTGTCAGCATGGACCTGGTCATCTTGGGTTCATTTGGAAGCTTCAGATTTCATGTCAGGGCAGACTGGCAAGGGTGAGTAGGGCTGCTAAAATGTTGCCTCCCACTCTCCCTCCAAGTCTTCACCTAAAAAAACAACCTTTATCTGTGGGGGTAGGGGGTTGCATACCTGCCAAAGTGTCGTGTGTGTGTGTGTGTGTGTGTGTGTGTGTGTGTGTGTGTGTGCGTGTGTGTGTGTTTAGGTTAGAGAATATCTTGTAGAAGTCAGATCTCTCCTCTGCCATATGGGTCCTGAGACTTAAACTCAGACTGTCAGACTTAATGACAAGCCCCTTTACCAGATAAACCATGTGACACCCCCCCCCCCTTTTTGAGAATTGAACATAAGGCCTCAGGCATGTAGGTAAGCACTCTACCACTAAACTATCCCCAGCCCTTTTTTATTATTGTGTATGTACATGATATATGGTGTGTATGTATGGAGATGTTAGTATACCAAAGATGTCAGAGGACAACTTTGAAAGTTGATTCTCCTCTTACATCTTTTTTCTAAATGTGTATGATGTATTGCCTGCATCTGTGTAAGTACACCAGTGTCATGCAGTGTTCCCAGAGGTCAGAAGAAGTCATCAGATCCTCTGGAACTGGAGTTACCGGCAGTTGTTAGACACCATATGGGTGCTGGGAATTGAACCTAGGTCCTCTGCAAGAGCGGCCAGTGCTCTTAACTTCTGAGCCATCTCTCCAGCCCCTTTTTTCTTTCATCTTCTCATGGGTTCTGAGGTTTGAACTCAGGTCATCATCAGGCTTGAATGGCAAGCACTTTACCTGCTGAGCCCTAATTTTTGTTTTCTAATGGGATTGAACACAGGGCCTTTGTGTATGCTAGGCAAGGGCCTAACACTGAGCTATATTGCAGTCCTTAAATCATTTGAAGTCTTTCAGTGACTGCCATGTAAGTGACAGTTCTTAGAGTGTCTGTGTGGGGACATGCCTGAGGCCTAGGGGACTTGTGGGCTTCCTTTGCTCCTGTGTTGGTATATGAGGTTGTGAGCTCCAGGGAAGCTGTGGACTCTGTGGTTCCCTTCTAAGCCTGTGTGTCTCTTCCAGCTTATGACAGCCTGTGCCATGCAGGTCTTCCATAGCCTCTTCCATGCCAAGCCCAGCCCCAGCACCCTGTCAGCAGAGCTCAACGCACAGATCATCACGGTGAGCCCCAATGGTAGAGGGGGCACTGCAGGGCAGATCTCTGGGAGGCCTTGCCACCTTACCATAACAATAGGATTGATGGGCTGGGCATCCCAGTGGAGTAGAGAGGCTTGCAGACAGGAGAAAGCTCACTGAAGTTGCCATGGGAGTTGGGTGCTGACTCTTTCCTGATGTAGTTAACTTCAAAAATGATTTCTGCTTGGTCTTGTGTGCACAGATACCTTGAGCAGGTCTTTTTTTCTTCTTTATTTTATTTTATTTTTTTTGACAGCGTCTCACTATTGTAGTCCTGGCTGGCCTGAAACTCACAGAGATCTGCCTCTTCTGAGATTAAAGGCGTGCACCACAACACTTGGCTTGAGCAGGGCTTTGAACCACAGTTAACTATCTATTGGTGGCCTTTTGAAGGGAGACATGAGCCAAATTGTTCGTAAAATGTATTGAATTGTATTTCCTCAGAGAAGGGCTCTGGCTTCTGTTGATGTATAGGAGGGTGTGATCCCCCTCACTCTTACTCCTTGAGCCAGTGCTCCCACAACATTCGACCCAGAAGGGCTTCATGGAGCAAGGAAGGGCAGGCTGGCTGGATATTCTGGTGTCAAGTGGATAGGAAGGGGTCATCGTCATTGGGGCTGCTGCTGACTGAAGCTAAGTCACTTGCTTATTCCTCTCTCTCTAGGCCTTGTATGACTACATTCCCAGTGAGAATGACTTGCAACCCCTGCTGGCCTGGCTTAAAGTCATGGAGAAAGCCCACATCAACCTGGTCAGGTAGGGATGGGGTGGAAGGCATCCACAACCTCCCTCCAAGCTGCCTATTCTGCATACAGATAGAAGGATCATGATTCCGAAACTAGGGAGTCCATTCTGCTCCAGGGCCTGGTGTTCCTGTGTAGAGTGTACGAGGACCAGCTCTTATGTTAGAGAGACAAGCGGAAGAGTGGCATGGCCATTCTGTCCAGTCCAGTTCCTTTCCCACCAGAATGTCTTATCAGCTCACTGTGAACACCAAGGCACACTGAGGACAGTGCTCTGGGCTAGGGTTGAGTTTTATCCTGATTCTTCCCATGGTTTGTGCCCTTAGTTTCTTGATCAGGAGGATATCATTCCCTTTCTGTAGAGGTCAGGCCACAACTTGTGGGAGCCAGTTCACTCCTTCTGTCCTGTGAGACCCAGGGATTGAACTCAGGTCAACAGACTCAGGTCAACAGCACTTGGGAGCAGAGGCAGGTGGATCTTTGTGAGTTTGAGATCAGCCTGGTCTGCATAGCCAGTTCCAGTCCCACTAGGGGCTACAGGGAAACCCTGTCTCAAAAAAAAAAAAAAAAAAATTATTGGGACTGGAGAGATAGCTCAGTAGCTAACAGACTGACTGTTCTTGTAGAATGCCCAGGTTTGGAATCCCAGCACCCACATGGGGCTAACACAGGAGATCTAACGCTTTCTCTCCTCCGTGGGCACTTCATGACACGGGTGTACTTATACACATGCAGGCATAGCACTCATACACATAAAATAAAAAGAAATAATTTTTTAAAAATGTGTGAGTTCGTGGCCAGCCTGGTCCTCATAGTGAGTTCTGGGACAGCTGGGGCTACACGGAGACCCTGTCTCAAAATGACCAAAAAAAACCCAAAAGATTTATTTTTTTATTATGATTTTTGGACAGTGTCTCCCTGTAGCCCCAGCTGGCCTGGAACTCACTATGTAGACCAGGCTGGCTTTGGTCTTACAGAAATCTCCTACCTCTGCCTCCTGAGTGCTAGGATTAAAGATATGTACCACTATGCCAAGCTGATTTATTTATTTTTATTTTATGTGTATGGGTGTTTTGTCTGCATGTATGTAAGTAAGTGCACCACATGTGTGCAATGCCTATGGAGGTCAGAAGAGGGTATTATGGACATATGGCTACAGTACATTAGCTGCTATGTGGGTGTTGGTACCAGTGTTCTTAGTTACTGAGCCATGTCTCTAGCCTATTTAGTTTTTTTGAGACAAGGTCTCGTGTAACTCAGGCTGCCATTGAACTCTTTTTTCTTTGTTGTTTTGAGACAGGGTCTCATTATGTAGCCCCTGCTGGCCTGGAACTCACAATGTAGAGTAGGCTAGCCTTGAACTCACAAAGATCCACCTGCTTCTGCCTCCTGAATCCTGGGATTAAAGGCATGCATTGCCATCCCTGCCTGTGGACTTGAACTTTTTTTTTTGTCTTTTTGAGACTGGGTCTCTCTGTAGCCCCAGCTGGCCTGGAACTCACTATGTAGACCAGGCTGGCCTCGAACTCACAGAGATCAGCCTGCCTCTGCCTCCCAAATGCTGGGATTAAAGGGATGTGCCACCATGCCTGGCTCGGGCTTGAACGATACTTTACTTCAGCTTCATAACTGCTGGGATTATAGATGTGACCCATCATGCCTCATTCTGGTATGATATTTATTTATTTTCATTTTTAAATTTTGTATGTGTATGTACATGTTTGTGTGTGGGAATGGGCATGAGCATGCCACAATAGCTTGTGGAGCTCAGAGGAATACCTCAGGGTCACTCTTCACCTTCCCCCCGTGTTTGAGACACAGTCTCTTATTGTGTGGTGTGAAGTATGCCAGGCTGACTAGCCTTGAAAGTTTCCAGGGATTCTCCTGTCTCTGCCTCCCATCTTGCTGTAGGATTGCTAGAATCACTACCGTGCTCACCTTTACATGAGTTCAGTTCTGTGGATTCAAACTCAAATTCTTAGTCTTGCATAGCAAGTGCTTTACCCACTGAATCATCTCCCCAGTCCAGGAATAATTTTTTTTGTAAATTTTATTTTATTTACTATTTTATTACTTTTTTACTTTTATGTGTCTGAGTGTATTGCCTGCATGTATATAAATGCACCCATGTTATGTAGTGCCTGCCTGCGGAGGTCAGGAGAGGCCATTTAATTCCTCTGGAACTGGAGTTACAAACAGTTGTTAGCTACCATGTGGGTGCTGGGAATTGAACCTGGGTCCTCTGCAAGAACAGCCAGTGCTCTTAACTGCTGAGCCATCACTCCAGCTCTGTAATATTTATTTATTTTGTTTGTATATTGGTGTGCACATGCCATGGTATGCATGCAGAAGTTAGAGAACAACTTTTAGAAGTTAGTTTTCTGATCTTGTGGGCTCTGGGGATCAAATTCAGGTCTTCAAGCTTGGCAGCAAATGTATCCATTGTGCCATCTCACAGATCACCAAGTGTGATAATTTTTTATGTACTTTGGGATCAGATTGCGAGGGTGTGAATCCCTTCTTGCCACATCCACTAAGTGGCCTTGGCCAAGTTACTTGACTTCGGTGTCTGTTTCCCCATCTACAGATTGGGAATAGGAGTTAATCTTATTAGTTGTTGCAAGGTTGGAGTGAAATCTCTAATGTTATATCAGTGGTTGGAATATGGTGTTATCTAAATGTTAGCAGTATTATTGTTTTGTGTGTCTGTATATACATTTAAAACTCTTGGAAGAGTATTTAAGAAAACTCAACTTTTGAGACTGGAGAGATGTCTTAGCAGTTAGGAGCATTGGCTGCTCTTGCAAAGGACCTGGGTTTGGTTCCCAGCACCCACATGGGAGCTAACAACTGTTCTTAATTCCAGTTCCAGGGGATCTGATGTCCTCTTCTGACCTCTGTTGGCATTGCATGCATAGGTTCACTTACATACATGCAGGCAAAACAGTCATGTAAAATAAAAAGAAATTTAAAAAAAAAGAAACTCAAATTTGGGTTTGTTCTGGGAAAGGCAAGTCCTCATTCTGTATCCTGCCTGAAGGCAGTTTGAATTTTTCACCCCATGTATTATGACTTAGATGACAGTCCTCTTTGGAATGGCCTGCCAGGAGGGCCCTGAGGAGCCCAGCAGGTCAGTGGATATTTCCACCTGGGCTTCTAAGGGTTGAACCCTGGTGGCCCCAGGTCTCTGAGGTTCAGGGCCAGGCATCACAGAAACCTTTTGTCTTGACAGATTGCAGTGGGACCTGGGGCTCGGCCATCTTGCTCGATTTTTTGGAATTGCAATGACTTGTCTCCTCTCCCCTCATTTGCAAGTGGTAACAGCTGCTACCCAGAGTCTCAAGGTACTCCAGCCCCCTAACCAAGCTTCAGCTGGGAAGTAGAGAGCTCAGGGCGTTCTGCCTACTGCCCTGTCTCCCAGGCCACTGTGGATACCCAGCATGGTTCTGGAGGAGTTAGAAACTTCTGAAAGCAGCTACTTGGGAGGGGCAAGTGGAACTCTGGGGCTGCCTGGGTTCAGATAGCCTGGGGCTTCTCTTCACAGGAGATCCTGAAGGAGTGTGTAGCTCCACACATTGCCGACATTGGCTCTGTGACCTCCTCGGCCTCAGGTCCTCCGCAGTATATCGCCAAGATGTTCAGGTGAGAATATGGTATCTACATTAGGAAGGCACAAGGGGCGCCTTGTTAGAAGTTCTGTATGATGACCAGTGTTCCACTTACCACTTACTCTGGGCTGTATACCTAGTACCAGGTGCTTTGTGGAATTTCAGGGTGGGTGCCAAACCTCTGCCGGAGCAGTCCTGCCAATTGAAGCATGCCTTATTTCTGAGGCACTTAGAATGGGAGGGGTACCAGAGTGTGGGACAGAAACATGTGACTCATGGATTCCTGCCTCAGAGCTCCTGAACCCTGGAGCTGGGTTTGAGTTCAGCTTTATTCCTTACAAGTCCTGCCTCTCTACACCTCAGGGTCCTCAGGTAGCACTTACATACATGCAGGCAAAGCACCAGGCATGTTATTAGGCATTCAGTAAACAGAAACTGCTAACAACTGCTAGGAGACTGTTACTGACTCCTTCTTACAGATGCAAAAGAGAGGTTATCCAGCCCATGACAGGCTAACTCTAGAATCTACTCTTATATGCCAGGCTGCCCTCAGCACTGTGAGGAGCCATTCACAGACATGTCCACAGAGCACCAAATGATACTAGGAAAGGGGCTAGGGTTCTTGGCCTTGTCTGTTCAGCCCCATGGTGTGGTGCTCTGGTGACTTCTTTGTCGGGGCAGAGGCCTGTTCCTGTATGTCCAGGATGAGGTTTTGGGAAGTCTGAAGGGGTCAGACTACCCGTCTCATCCATTCTTGCCTACACACTGCTCCTTGTCAACCCTTTCTGCCTAAAATCTTCAGGGCTTAGACATTGTGGGGAGCCTAGAGGTCCTCCCCTCTATTTAGGCCACCTGTTCCTACCCATTCTCCCTCCTCAGGTCAGATGGAAAAAGCTTGAGACAGTGGAAGTCCATGAGTCAGAGAGTTCAGTGCAGGACTGGGAGAGAGAGACTGGCAGGTTTTTTAATGTCTTTGAGCCTCAGTTTCCTCATTTGAAGATGGACCAATTACTACCTCGTGGTTTCTTTTCAAGCAGTAGGAGTTTATAAATTAAACTCCCCATGGACATTTTCTGAATATTAGCTCTCTACTCTGTCTTTCTCAGGACCCTCCTTTATGTGGGGTCTATGACTTACGGTGTCAGCCAGTTATTTCCTGAGGTGGTGCGATTGTGTCTCTGACTGTGCTGCTCCTTGGCAGGGCAGTGGAGGAGGGCCTGACGTACAAATTCCATGCGGCCTGGAGCTCTGTGCTGCAGCTGCTGTGTATCTTCTTTGAGGTGTGTGGAAAGCAAGCCCATCCTGTGATGAAGAAGGTGAGTTGGGGACTGCTAGGACCAGGGAAGAGTTAGCACTTGGGTCCTGAGACTGAGGACTCCTGGCGGGGGAAGAACATGTATGTGCTCTATCCCACCCCAGCCTTGACAGTGCCCAGTTCTGGACCCCCAGGAAAGTAACCGACCAGTGTGGGAAGACCAAGAACAGGGTGGGTGGTAACCCTTGCACCTGCTCACTAATGATGCTAAAGTTGATTTAGAAACTTGGGGAGCCCTGGCTTTTTTAAAAAATATTTTATTTATTATTTTTATTTTATGAGTATGAGTGTATCCTCTGCATGTATGTGGGTGCACCTTTGTCGTGCAGTGCTGCGGAGGTCAGAAGAGGGCTTCGGATTCCCCTGGAACTGGAGTTAAGGACGGTTTATAGCTGCCATGTGGGTGCTGGGAATTGAATCTGGGTCCTCTGCAAGAGCAGACAGTGCTCTTAACCACTGAGCCATCTCCCCAGCCCCGAGCCCTGGCTTTTTTAATGTTTAGTTCTCTAACTTCTAATGTGTGAGTATAGTGTTAACTTTTTAAAAAGTATATGTGTTTAGTTATTCATTTGTTTGGTTTTTTTTGAGACAGGGTGTTGCTATGTAACACTGACTGACCTGCATCTTGCTATATAGATCAGGTTAGCTTTGAACTCACTTCGAGATCCACTTGTCTCTGCCTCCCCAGTGCTAGGATTAAAGGCGGGTGTCATCTGACCTGTTTGTTTGTTTTGTTTTTTTAAATACTTTTATTTATTTTTTATGTATGAATGTATTGCCTGCATGTATGTAAGTGCACCCATGTTGTGCAATCCCTGCTGAGGTCAGAAGACAGTGTGGGATCCCCTGGAACTGGAGTTATGGATGGTTGTTAGCTTCCATGTGAGTGCTAGGAACTGAACCTGGGTCCTTTGCAAGAGCTGTCAGTGCTCTTAACCACTGAGCCATCTCTCCAGCCCCCTGTTTTTTATTTATTTTTATTTTTATTTTTTTCTTTTTGAGACAGGGTCTCCCTGTAGCCCCAGCTGTCCTGGAACTCACTATGTAGACCAGGCTGGCCTTGAGCACACAGAGATCCGCCTGCCTCTGCCTCCCAAGTGCTGTGATTAAAGGCGTGCGCCACCATGCCTGGCTTTTTTTATTTTTAAAGATTCGTTTTTTACTTTACATGTATGAGTGTTTTGCCTGCATGTGTACTGTGTGAGAGCCTGATCCCTGCAGAGGCCAGAAAAAAGCATGGGATCCCCTGGAACTGGAAACCAAACCCAGTCCTCTGCAAGAGCAGTGTTCTTGCAGCCAGTGCCGAGCATCTCTCCAGCCCCCAGTGTTGATGTTTTAAATAGCCTTAGGTCTTGGGGTTCCTTCAGACCAGGTTAAAATGTCTGAGGCCTGAGAATCCTGAGCAGACTCCTTGGCAGCAGGTGCTGCATCAGCTCCTGACCTCATGGGGCCTTTCTCATTGGTTCCTCCCACTGCTGACTGGGTAACAGGAGCCACCCTGGGGAGGAGGCTCTCCCTCTAGAGTCCTGGCTAGGGCCTTTATTGGTTAGGGCTGGCAAACATGGCTTCCTACAGAAGACCATACAGGACTATGGAGAAGTGAGGCTGGTTAGGACCAGGGAAACTGGCGGGTGCTGTTCTGCCTACTCAGTGCAAGCTCATTTGCTTGTGATTGCCTGTAGGCCAGTATTGGAATCTATATTTGTATGCGCAATTTCCTAGTTGTTCACATGTTAAATAAAACAGAACTTTTAAAAGAAGTCCTGGGTCTTGGAGAAGGATTAGACATACCATTGAGTCATTTGGGTCATCAGTGTGTGTCACCTGAGCCCAGAATCTTGGCCTTATCCTTTTCAAGCCTGGCCTGGTCTAGACCACAGACGGATACCTGTTCCAAAGATGTATCTGTAGTGAGGTCAAAGACAGGAACATTTTGCTGGTTTAGCTTCTGTCCCCTAGTCAGCAGACGAACTACTGGTTTTTGTTTTTGCTTTTTGTGATGCTGGAGATTGATCCCAGGCCTTGCACATGATAGGGAAGTACTCTGCCTTTGTGTCACACCAGGTTCTGCAATCATGTTTCTCTTTGTATTCTCTCATGTTCCAGTGCCTCCAGTCCCTGTGTGACCTGCGTCTTTCCCCTCACTTCCCCCATACAGCAGCCCTTGACCGGGCTGTGGGAGCCGCAGTGACCAGCATGGGACCAGAGGTGGTGCTACAGGCTGTGCCTTTGGAAATTGATGGCTCTGAGTAAGTGTCTGGTTGGCCTTTAGGAGCCCAGGAGACTCAGGCAGCTTGTTCTCTCTGAGGAAGAGTATCCACTAAATTTTCTATGGAGTACCTTCAGGCTTTCATCTCTTCCTCATTGAGTCTTTTCTCCCAGAGAGACTCTGGATTTCCCACGGAGCTGGCTGCTGCCTGTCATCCGGGACCACGTCCAGGAAACGAGACTTGGTTTCTTCACTACTTACTTCTTGCCCCTGGCCACTATTCTCAAGAGCAGAGGTACAGAACCCTTGACTATGTGCAACCTGAGGTCTTCCATCATTCAGGAACCCAAGCTGAAGGGGTCAGAAAGGGGTCAGAAAGGCTGAGTCCAACATACCTTGTGTCCATACATTTAGCAGCTTTTCTCTGCCAAGCAGGGAGCCATCCAGTGAGGGTTCCCCCCTGTGGTGCCTCCATCCTCTGGATCTTATTTTTCTCTCTGGGATCAAAAGAATTTTGCTCCTTTGTTATGGGAGCCTTTAACTAGATTCTATTTTTTTTTTCATATTTATTATTTTTCTCTCTCTCTCTTTTTTTTTTGGTCTTTTTGAAGCAGGTTCTCCCTGTAAGCCCCATCTGTCCTGGAACTCACTATGTAGACCAGGCTATCCTTGAACTCAGAGATCCGCCTGCCTTTGCCTCCCAAGTGCTGGGATTAAAGGCATGAACCACCACGCCCAGCTATTATTTTTCATTTTATATGTATGTATGTATTGCCTGCATATAGGTAAGTGCACCCGTGTCGTGCAGTGTCCATGGAGGACAGACAGAAAAGTCTGTTGGATCCCCAGGAACTGGAGATACAGACAGTTTTTTTTTTCTTTTCTTTAAATATTTATTATTTTTTTGTGTATGAGTGTATTGCCTGCATGTATGTGAGTGCACCCGTGTTGTGCAATGCCACAGAGGTCAGTAGAGGGCTTCGGACTCCCCTGGGACTGGAGTTAAGGACTGTTCATAGCCACCATGTGGGTGCTGGGAACCTGGGTCCTTTGCAAGAGCAGTCAGTGCTCTTAACCGCTGAGCTATCTCTCCAGCCCCAATACAGACAGTTCTTAGCTGCCATGTGGGTGCTGAGATTCAAATCTGGGTCTTCTGCAAGAACAGCGGTGTTCTTAACTGCTGAGCCATCTCTCCAGCCCTTTAACTAGATTCTTAGAAATTTATATATGCCGGGCATGCCTTTAATTCCAGCACTCAGGAGGCAGAGGCAGGAGGATATCTGTGAGTTCGAGGCCAGCTTGGTCTACATAGTGAATTCTAGGCCAGCTGGAGCTACAGGGAGACCCTGTCTCTTGGGGACACACAACTCAGAATTTCTGTTGGAAGGGCAACACACTGAACAATTATTACGAATGATTTCAGCATCACTATTTTATCAAATTTTCTAAGCAATCACCTTACCCATGACTAACAACTGGACATAGAGCAAATGTCTTAATAGGGATATAAATATGGCAAGACCAGACAGGAGGTAGGTGGAGCAATCCAGAAGACAAAATTGTACCCAAAGTTGTGCTCAGGGATACTGCCTCTACAAACTGTTTCCTTAAAAAAAATGTTTTATTATTTTTAATTTTTGTGTGTGAGTGTATTGCCTGCAAGTATGTAAGTGCACCCGTGTCATGCAATGCCTGCAGAGGTCAGAACTGGAGTTATGGATGGTTATTGGCTGTTATGTGGGTGCTGGGAATTGAGCCCAGGTCCTCTGCAAGAGCAAACCAGTGCTCTTAACTGCTAAACCCATTAGCTGGCCCTTTGTGTTTCCAGGTTCTGCATCACAGATTCAGTCAACTATGGACAGAATGTATTCAGGGAAAATACATATGTACTGGATATATACAGACTTTTTTTTGTCATTGATCCCTAACAATTATGATATAGCAACCCTTCACAGGGTATTTTTGCTGTTAGGCACAATAAGTCATCTAGAGCTGATTTAAAGGATGGGGATGTACATAGGTTGTACTACCAGCCTTGCCTACTCTGTGAACCCCAGGTTACTGAGATACCATGTCTCTAAAAACAAAGTGGAGAGATCCTACATCTGAGGCTGACCTCTGGCCTCCACATGCACCTGCACACACACAATAAACTTTAAATTTCTTTTTTTTTTTTTGTCATTTGAGACAGGTCTGGATTCACTATGGAGACCAGGCTGGCCTGGAACTCACAGAGATCCATCTGCCTCTGCCTCCTGAGTACTAGGATTAAAGGTGTGCACCACCACACCTGAATAACTTAAAAAAATTTTTTTTCATTTTAATGTGTATGAGTGTATTGCTTGCATGTACGTAGGTGCATCTGTGTCATGCAGTGCCTTCAGAGGTCAGAAGAAGGCATCAGATCCCCTGGGACTAGAGTAATGGATGGTTGTTAGTCACCAGGTGGGTGCTAGGAATCGAACCTGGGTCCTCTGCAAGATCAGCCAGTGCTCTTAACCACTGAGCCATCTCTCCAGCCCCAAATGAATGTTTTTTTTTTTTTTTTTTTAAAAAGAATATACACTGCCAGGTGTAGTGGCACATGTCTTTAATTCCAGCACACAGAAAGCAGAGGCAGGCGGATCTCTGTGTGTTCAAGTCCAGCCTGGTCTACATAGCGAGTTCCAAGCCAGCTGGGGCTACAGGGAGACCCTGTCTGAAAAAAACCCCCCAAAAGTTATTCTAATATCTGAAGAACCACTGAAATGGGAGTCAGTAACATTACCTGTAAGCACTGCAGGTATTAGTTGATTATTTGGTTAGTTATTTCAGATAGGATCTCATGTAGCCTTTAACTTGATATGTAATTGAAGATGACCTTGAATTCCTGCTTCTCCTGCCTCAGCCTCCTTCTGAGTGCTGGGATCATAGGTGTCATCCGTCACACCCAGCTTCATAGATTTTTTTTTTTTTTTTTTTTTTTTTTTTTTTTTGTATTTTTGAGACAGGATCTCCCTGTCTCCCTATAGCCCCAGCTGGCCTGGAACTTGCTTTGTAGACCAGTCTGGCCTTGAACTTACAGAGATCCACCTACCTCTGCCTTTCATAGATATGTTTTGGGTTTTTTTTAGTTTTTTTGAGACAGGGTCTCCCTGTAGTCCCAGCTGTCCTGGAACTCACTATGTAGACCAGACTGGCCTTGAACTCATAGAGATCTGCCTGCCTCTGCCTCCCGAGTGCTGGGATTAAAGACATGTGCCACTACACCTGGCAGTGTATATTCTTTTTTTTAAAAAAAAAAAAAACATTCATTTGGGGCTGGAGAGATGGCTCAGTGGTTAAGAGCACTAGCTGATGTTTAGAATAATTAAGTGTCACTATTTAATTTATGGGGGGGGGTTACCCATATTCCTATCCTCATTGTAGGGCTTTTGATTTTGATAAAATTAGGCCAGTTGAGCAAGAAGGTACCCAGGGTCACATCATGTCTTTGTTGTACCCTCCAGCAATGGCACTGGGCCAGTCAGGCAGCACCGTGGAGTCCAAGATCTATGATACACTCCAATGGCAGGTGAGAGTCAGCTTGGGTGGGACAAGGGAAGGAGAGTGCAGAAGCACGAGTCACTGGTGACTCTCTACTGTCCAACTCCTCCTCCCCAGATCTGGACCCTTTTGCCCGGGTTCTGCACAAAGCCCACGGATGTGGCTGCCTCCTTCAAAGGTTTGGCACGGACACTGGGCACAGCCATCAATGAGCGTCCAGACCTGAGGGTCACTGTGTGCCAGGCCCTACGTACCCTTATCACCAAGGGCTGTGAGGCAGGTAAGTGTGGGAGCTAGTGAGAAAATGACCTGGGGTGCTGGCTTGCTGCAGCTCACTCTAGGCAGCCCATCTACATTGCTGCTGCTAGGACCCAGGAAACTGACAGTGGCCCTTCCCTCACACCTCTTCCCCTAGTGTTCTGACAGCAGCTGTGGATTGTGTAGTCAGTGTAAAAGCCTGGAAGAGCCCAGACTGTGTGGCACCTTGTTCTGTGTGCCCTGGCCTCTATCTCTCCTGGCACAAAGTGTATGCTTATGGCATCCAAGACCTGCCAGAGGATCCCTTAAAAGGATGCCTCTGGCCTGTTACCCAGTGACCACTGAGGCAGGGTTAGCTCTGTCCCTTCATTGCAAACTTGAGTTTTCCTGCCAGAGGCTGACCGTGCTGAAGTGAGCCGCTTTGCCAAGAACTTCCTGCCTATCCTCTTCAACCTGTATGGACAGCCTATTGCAACTGGGGACGCTGCAGCCCCTCGCCGGGCTGTGCTAGAAACCATCAAAACTTACCTCACTGTAACTGAGTCTCAGGTGAGTGCTGGATGAGGGGAGGATTGTTGTGAGGTATTAGAAAGTCAAGACTCCCACTGCCAGTTGCATGGGGAACTCTACTACCTGAAGAATAGGGCACTGTGTGGCGAGGATGGGATGGGGGCTCCTAAACCATGGGGACTAACTTAGGAACCTGTTGCTATGGTCACTGTTTCTTTCTCCACTGGGGCTGTCAGTTGGTGAATAGTTTCCTGGAAAAAGCCACTGAGAAGGTGCTTGACCCTGCCAGCTCTGACTTCACCAGGTAATGTGCTCAGGGCTTCCCCACTTCACCTAGGCAGTCAGAGAACTGTATGGGTGTCTAGAAGAGGCCCTTGGATTCATTCTGGAATTATTTGAGGAAATCTTGAGATAGTGAATGAACTCTTGAGATACTGAATTCCTGAAGGGTGAACGAGGACCCTAGAGATAGGCAGCCTAGGTTCAAATCTCAACTCTGCTACTTACTGGCTTGAGGGATTTGGACAAGTTACAAACTCACTCTGCTTCTGAATCCTCATCTATAAAATGGATGTGGTAATAGTACCTGTATCACAGCTCTTTGAGGACTGAAAAGGTCAGCCCCTGTCAAGCACCTGGAGCACTGCCTGGAGTGCTGAGTGCTTGGTTAGCACAGTACTACCTGTGATTATTGCTCATGCAGTCCGGATTTCTCCCATTTCCTGGAGCTAGTAGGCGTGAGAGCACTGATTCTGATACCCTCTGCTCTTTCCAGGGGCCCTAAGCCTCTTCATGATTTTCCTTTCTGAACAGATTGTCTGTCCTGGACCTGGTTGTGGCCTTGGCTCCTCACTCGGACGAAGCTGCCATCAGTAAGCTGTACTCTACCATCCGGCCATACCTTGAGGTGAGCCCCACACAACCCACCTCCACAAAGGTGGGGTCTATTTTCCTGTCTTCGTCCTTGCTGCTCACCCAGATCAGGACCTAGCCAGCTTCTCTGTACCGTGCCTTGCCCATCTGTCTCCAAGGTGCCAGGGTGACTAAAAAAAGTGCTGCCATGCTATGCTCTACCTCCAACATGTGACTTGTAGAATGAAGGCCATGCTCCTTTACCTGTGGCCATTCTAGGCCCATCCCAGCCCTCAGCCCTCCCAGTGCCTCCTCTACCTCCCTGCTGGAATTACAGATGTGCACCACCATACCTGGCCTTTGTTAGGCAGTTTTTGAGGGTCTCAGATTCCTTTTTTTCTCTCTTTTTAAAATATTTTATTATTTCTGTACATATGGTGGGGCACGTGTGGAGATCAGAGGACAGTTTTGTGGAGTCTCTTCAGCCCTTCCACTTTTATGTGGTTCAGGCTTGCTGAGCCATTTTGCCTACCTTTTTTTCTTTTTTGCTGGATGAACCTACATCTTCATGCATTCTAGGTATGACACTACTACTATGCCATACTCCCATATAGAGCATGTTTGCCTATGCCTTTGCTCATACTGACCCTTCTTCTGATATGTTCACTTAATGACTTATAGCTATTGCAGAGCTTGGCCTGGCAGCCCCCTCCTAAGCACTAGCTCCTCTGTCAGTTTAATTAGCAGTTAACAAGATGCTCTGAGGCAGAATGTACCAACAGACAGGATGTCCAGGGTAGGGCTACTCAATTCCAGGAGAGTGTACCAGGAAGAGTGATATGAAAAAACTTCAGAATCAAAAGGAGTCAGTTGGGCAGAAGAGAGAGTGCTCCAGCCAGATAGCAGCAGGTTAACGGGCTGTATTGGCACATCCTAATGCCACCAACCCAGGCTTGAGTATCTGTTATTTAATGTTGGCAAGAGGAATAGCTTGGAGAGCCAGGCTGGCTTTAACTCTGAAGCTATGGCTACTGTTTCCAGACCTGATGGACAGGCTCAGCTTCTCTCTGAATCCCCTTAGTGGATACTGGGGGAGCGTTGCTAGGTGGGGGTGGAGCCCAGCCCCCTGCCTTACTCTCCCTGTGCCCAATTTACCTTTCAGAGCAAGGCCCACGGCATACAGAAAAAGGCCTACCGAGTGCTAGAGGAGGTGTGTGCCAGCTCCCAGGGCCCTGCAGACTGCTTTGTGCAAAGCCACCTGGATGACCTGAAAAAGACTCTGCTGGACTCACTGCGGAGCACATCCTCGCCTGCCAAGAGGGTCAGGCCTCCAGGGCTGCCTATCCTGCAAGGGAGTAACAGTGTCACTGGTAAGGCTCAAGGGTATACAATGAAAGATCCTAACTGTTATCTTTGTGCCCACAGCCCCGTTTGAAGTGCCTCATACATATTGTGAAGAAACTGTCAGCTGAGCATGAGGAGTTCATTGCTGCTCTCATCCCAGAGGTAAGGAGGTGAAGGGATGAACATGTGTGTTTGGGGGTTCCCTAGGGGATGGTCCCCAAGAGACAGTGATGGTGAGGATGATCTTAATTCACTCTGGGCATGTGCAGCTCACCTCAGGGGTGCCAGCTGGGTAGCACACGCTGACAGGGCTGTCTTGCTAGGTAATCCTGTGCACCAAGGAGGTATCAGTGGGTGCACGGAAGAACGCTTTCACCCTGCTGGTGGAGATGGGCCGTGCTTTCTTGCGATTTGGCTCCAACCAGGAAGGTAAGACTACAGTGTAAGCTGGGGTGCATACTCTGCATCTAGGCTGAGGGAAGGCACCCCTTAAAGCCACTGGTCTTAGGGAAAAGGTAGAGAAAGCTTCTTACCTTGTTCTGGCTGCTGCTTTAAGGCCTGTAGTCCCCCTCCCTGGGGACCGTGTCTTCCTGTGACCTGTCCTGATCTCTGCCCTCAGAGGCTCTGCAGCGCTATCTTGTCCTGATTTATCCTGGCCTCGTGGGTGCGGTTACCACAGTCAGCTGCAGCATCCTGTCTCTGACACATCTCCTGTTTGAGTTTAAAGGTAAGTGTTTCCTTGAAGACTTGGGAAGCCTCACTGTAGGTAATACTCCAAAGATCAAGACAGGGTGGTTGGGGGCGGGTACAAGGAGGGGGTTTCAGGAGACAAAAAGGAGAGCTAGAATTCTGCCCCTTTCTCCTGATACCTGCCCCACCCAGCAGCTGTGCTGTCCTAGTGTTCTGAGTCCCCTGCTACGTTGGTGAGGAGGTGGGGTTGGCCAGCCCCTGGATCTTGTTCTGGTCACACCTCTTTGCAGTCACATGAAACCTTGAGCAGCTTCACTGACCTCTTAGAACCTCTGTTTCCTATCCCTGAAATGGATGAGAGAAGTTTGTACCCATGGGTGGTCAAGCAGTGGATAGTGATTGAAACCATGCCAGACCCACAGAAAAGCTCTGCCAACATTTGACCCACCAGGGTGGGTCTTGTATCTGGGTGGTCTTAGCATCTGACAGTGGCTCCTATGCACAGGGCTGATGGGAACCAGCACAGTGGAGCAGCTTCTAGAGAACGTGTGCCTGCTGCTGGCCTCCCGTACCAGGGATGTGGTCAAGTCTGCACTGGGCTTCATCAAAGTGGCCGTGGTGGTGATGGACGTGGTACACCTTGCCAAGCATGTACAGCTCGTGGTGAGGCTCCATTCCCTTCAGTGGGTGGCAATGGCTCCTGAGGTGCCAGTGTAGACCCCCTGGGCCTTGGGGCCAACGACTTTGGAACTATTTCCTTATCCACTGCTGCTTTGTGCAGCAGAAGGACATTAAGGAGCTCTGGGAGGCACTCACAGGAGAACGCTAACCTGACAGGCAAGGAAGGCACAGTGCCCACAGTTTTTCATACCACTCATTTAGCCCCCTCACAGAACAAGGACCAGGGGACAGAGCCCTTCCCACATTAGACTGAGTCCAGATATTTATTTCCAAGGTTAAGTCTCGGGACTCAGCCTGAGCTCTCCCTCTGCTGGGCCCCTCATCTTGCCCCCACCCCCATCTTGCATTTTGACCTTGTTTTGGGAATGTTCCTCTTCATACCCCTGCTAGGATGCAGAAGGATCTGAAGAGTCGTTTGGTGTTGGGTTTGTAGACTGCGCCCACCCAGGGAGCCTAATCCAGGCTCACTGCAAACTAGAACAGTTCTCTAACTAACTGGCTTAATTTCCCACTTTGAGCTACATCAGACTTCCAAGTCCCTCTTGTATATCTTTTTCTGGATTGAGCCTTGACTTCAAGGCAGGAAGGGACAGATGTCCTCCAAAAGCCTAAAGATGTATAGAATGGCTAGAAAAGAGATTTGTCATAGGATTATTAGAATCTATAAAATCCTGCCAAAGAACACATGGGGGCCCTGTTCCCCTAGGCCCACTGGGAGACCCTGCAGATAAGGTCTGCCCCTGGCATACTCATCTATACTAGGCAGGATGGACAGTGCTGCATGACAGAAAAGACACATGAGACCAGGAGATGCTTGATAGTGTCAGGCCATGTAGGATGTATAGGTATAGGTATTACCTCTGTGGCTGCTCAGCAGTCAGGTGAGAGCCTCAGGGGAGCCTGTGCCTTGGCTTGGTAGCATCAGTCTTATCAAGTTGCTTTAAGGATTTATTGAGAGAAGATATGCAGAGTGCTAAGCTGTCATCTTGGATGGCCACAGATGTGTTGTGAAGGAGGGCCTAGAGGAAAAGTGGGATTCCAGATTCCAGAAGCATGGTTGAGCCAAAGGGTGGGCCAAGGAACAGGGCAGCTGGGACCTCCGCTCTTAGCTGGACTCAGTTGTCCTGTATCCCTGGTCTGGACAACAAAGAAAGAAAGGTGGGTAGGGTAGAAGGTACACCACATTTCCCCTGACACCCTGATGCTCTCTGCCTGCCAGATGGAAGCCATAGGGAAATTGTCAGATGACATGCGACGGCACTTCCGCATGAAGCTTCGAAACCTATTCATCAAGTTCATCCGCAAGTTTGGGTCTGTGCACTTTCATGGTGATGGGAGTGGAGTGTGGGATTCTCATTCAGTCTCCTCAGGGGCAACAGGGAAGGGTCCTTGGTCCCTGAACACGTCCTCCCCAGAGAAGAATCTCTGACAAGTGCCTCTAGACAACCCCTCTTTGTCCCTTTCAGATTTGAGCTGGTGAAGGGACTACTACCTGCAGAATACCACAAAGTCCTGGTCAACATTCGCAAAGCTGAGACCCGGGCCAAGAAGCACCGTGCCCTGAGCCAGGCTGCTGTGGAGGAGGAAGAGGAGGAGGAGGAAGAAGAACCTGCCCAGGGCAAAGACAATAGGTAAGACCATCATAGGTTTCTGAGGGCCTGGTTTTACCTAGCTAAAATCCTGTCCTGACAATGCCCTTGGCCCCCACCTCTCCCAGCAATGTTTTGACTTTGGGCTTCTCTGCCTTAGCATTGAAGAGATTTTGGCTGACTCTGAGGATGAGGAGGATGAGGAAGTGGAAAAAGGCCGGGGCAAGGAGCAGCGAAAGCTGGCACGACAGAGGAGCCAGGCATGGCTGAAAGAGGGTGGTGGAGATGAGCCCCTCAACTTCCTGGATCCCAAAGTGGCCCAGCGAGTCCTTGGTGAGCAAGAAGTAGCTTTCTAAAGAGCTCAGATTATAAACTTGCCACTAAGTTCCATGGGTGGTGGGCAAGGGTTGGTTTTTGTGGGTGGCCAGTGGGCAGGGACTAAAAGGCTCCTAGTTGGGAGCACTGGTGTCTGTTGGCTCTGAGGAAGGTATGAGAAGATTAGGACTGGTCTTCCACCATCTCATGCCAAATTACCATACCAGCCACCCAGCCTGGGCCTGGGCGGGGCAAGAAGGACCATGGCTTCAAGGTTAGCGCCGATGGCCGCCTGATCATACGCGAGGAAGAAGATGGAGACAAGGTGGAGGAAGAAGATGGCACTAAAGGTAGGTCTCCCTTTCCAGGAGGCAGCTTCCTCTGGTCTCAGCTAGGGCTACTCTGGCTTGATCATTCATGTATTCACTTGGGGGCTTATTTACCCATTCATTCATGTAGTAACAATTTACTGAGTCCACTCACTAAAAATATTTTTATTTCATTTGTAAGGTCTCCATCCATTTATTGGTTTAATCTGTCTTTTATACAGTGCACCTTCAGTTTAAACAAAACTTGGGAGAACCTCCTGTCACTATGTGGTGTGCTGTCATCTGCTCTGCTTCCTTTCTCCTTGTTCCTTTTCCCCTCTTCCTTTTTTTTTTTTTTTGTGTGTGTGTTTGTTTGGTTTGGTTTGGTTTTGAATGGAAATAAGCTGACCCCTAAAGCTCATTTAGAGGCAGGAGAAGCCAGCCTCTGAGACACCCCAACTTCCTATCTCTGTGTTAAGATTGTTCCTCAGGTAGGGCCTTTAGGAGTGGCAGTCTCTCCTGGTCCCTCCCTCCACACATAACACATCTATTAGATAAACACCCAGGTCTTCTAAAAAAGAATCAGCCTTCCCAAATGAGGATGGTACTCAGTAATAAAATGCTTGCCTAGTATGTGTGAAGCCCTGGTTCTGTCCTCAGTACTTAGGAGTGGCAAATGTCTGTGTTCTGGTTGCTTTGGTTCCAGCTTCTTAGGTCTGGTCCCTTATTTATCCTCCTAACTGTTGCTCTCATAAGTCCCCCGCCCCTCACTCACCAGTTGCTTGTGTTTAATGGCTCCTGTTTATGCTTGGTATAAATGTGGCTTGCGCTATTTCTTTTTGGTTTTATTTATTTATTAATTTATTTGGTCTTTTTGAGACAGGATCTTCTATAGCCACAGCCAGCCTGGAACTCACTATGTAGACCAGGCTGACCTTGATCTCAGAGAGATCCTCCTGCCTCTTCCTCTCAAGAGGTGGGATTAAAGGCATGCACGACCACACCTGGATTTTATTAAGATTTTTATTATTTTTCATTGTGTGGGTATGTGGGAATATGTAGGGGTTATTGTGGAGGCCAGAGGTGTCAGAACTGCCTAGAGCTGGAGTTAGAGACAGTTATAATCTTCCTGACATGAGTGCTGGGAACAGAACTCGGGTCCTCTGCAAGCATGGTATGAGCTGGGTGAGGTGACGCATGCCTTTAATCCCAGCTCACAGGAGGTAGAGGCAGGGAGACCCTGTCTCCAAACAATCAAATAGAGTAGTAAGTTTGTGTTCTTAACCTCTGAGCCATCTTTCTAGCACCTTGTGCTGTTTCTTCAGCCATCTCTTCTTGGCTCCCCTCCTACCCTTTGCACTCTCCAGTCTCCCGTGTGCCTGGTGCCATGGGTTCCACACTTTTCCTTTCTCCTTGCCTTTCCAAAGCCTCTCTTTAGATGCATCACTGCTCCTTTGTGCCCTTTAGGTACCTTAACCACTAGGCCTCATTCCCACAGAACTCCCACAAGTCCAGGGACTGTCCTTTAGCACTTTAGTCACAGTTTGATTTGGGTTGGTTTTTGCAATGCCAGGGATTGAATCCAGCATCTTATACATGCTAGAAAAGTGCTGTCTGCTGAGCTACATTCCTAGGACCTACACATCCTGTCTTTATTGTCTCTTTGTTGCTTAACTTTGCTGGAATCTCTCCTCCCTCCAGATGGGCAGGTTCATACTATATATTATCCTACATGGTGCCCAGCACACAGAGGGGCCAAAAAAGTTTTTAAGTAGGGAAATAAAATTGTCCTTACAGAGTGGGGGCATATGGGGGCTGGACCTGACTCCTAGGAGACTTGGAGCTTTCTTTGAGTCCCCTCACTTCTTAAGGGGCCCTGTTGCCTGGGAGGGGAAGGAGAGGCAGCAGTTTTATATCCTCTAAAAAGAGAATACAGGTCTGGGGAGGACAGTTTTCTGGGACTGGAGTTGGTACTCCTTCCTAATGTGCCAGGAGAAGGAAGGCAGGTGGCAAGGGTGGGTTGGACATTCCCAAGTGCTCATGGATCTGTCTTCTGGCTCCAGGAGAGGATGAAGAGATGGCTGACTTGATGGAAGATGTTGGTGTCAGGAGTGTGAGTAATTGGTGGCCTCAGCTTGGCCTACAAACCTTTTCCCTACCTTCCAGTATACCCACAAGCACTGCACCCGCCGTGATTCCGCAGTACTCAATTGCAGTGGGCAGTCAGGAATGTGTATGTGTGCAGGGAAGGAAGATGATCAGGGTATGGGTCTTGGGTGCCTCTGAAGCATCCCTGTGCCCTTCACTGTGATGGCAGTTGTTCATTTGAACTGAGGTCATGTGCTAAGCAGGCTTTGAGGACAGCAGCTGGCCCATATGCTCCTAGGGGAGGACCCTGTGGGAGTAGAGGCCTCATTGAGAAGCATGCACTCTGTGCCAGGTGCTGGTGCTCACAGAAAGTAGTGATTTTTCTCTATTTTTAGAAGAGCCTGCCTGAGGTTACAGGGCTCATAGATGCAAATCAGGGATTGGAATCTTATCTTTCCAGTCTCCTGAACACAGGAACTTAGCCCCTGGCTACTATTCTACTCTTGACCTGACACTCTGCTGCCCAGAGTGGCATGCTCTCTTAACTGCTGTACCTTAACCACTAAGGGTCTAGCCCATCATCCAAGACCTGATGTCCATAAGCCCATGAAGACATTGCTGGAGGTGTGCTGGTAATTTCCTCCTCCCCTCCCTTCCTGGCCATGCCCAACTTTCCCAACCTTCCTGAACATCACTCTTAGATGATAAATGCCTAGGGAGCAGGCGCAGTAGGACTGGTGGTGAAGATGCAGGCTCTGAGGTCCCATCTTGGCCTCAGCCAATTCTTTCAAAGCCTTAGACCTGGTCTGTGAAATGAGGTTATAAGAAGGTTGTCTTGTAGGATTGTTGGGCAGTGTGGATGGGTGTGTAAAGTATATTAACTTAGAGCCTAGCATGTGATAAGCTTCCCTCAGTTTCTTAAATTCTTTTCCATGTGCCTTCTGCTAGTCCAGGCCCAAGGAGCTGGTTTATTGAGTGTCATGACACTACAGAATGCTGTTTGGGAAACTGGGTAAAAATCATGTAGGAGAGTCATGGCAGGCAGGGGTGAGGGCACATAGCTCCTCTGGGATACCCTGGGGATAGTCATGTGTGATTTCTGTTGTACACCCATGTGATCCCCCTCCATGGCTCATTCCGGTGCCTGTGATCAAGGCAGGTCACTGCTGCTGTTCCTGCCCTCAGTGGTGTGATTGGTCACTTTGCTCACTAACTCCCTACTTGTTGCCTCCTTCTATAGAAAAAGAAGCTGAAGCGGCAGAGGGAGGCTGAGGAGGATGAGCTGGAAACCCCTCCTCAGTACCAAGGTAAGGCATCTCCTCTTCTCATGGGAAACATGTAGGCAGGAGAGTTGTCAGAGGGCAGCAGAGCAGGGAGGCTGCACAGCTAGGTTGCACTCTAATGTAATACCCATGACTGGGCTGGGGGCCAAGGAGATGTGGGACTGAGGGAGAGCCTTGGGGGTTAGGTTTGTGCATGGTACCCCTGACCCTTTGAGGAGTCCTGAATCTAGGCTCTTCCCCACCCATCCACCCTTCCATGAGACTTGTAGCCAGCCCTTTTGACATTTGTTAGCCTCTCTTGTGTGCCCCAAGAGCTCCAGCCCTGAGTCATGCCAGGTTGGAGAAGCCACCTGGCCAGTGTTGAAGGCTGTCAGTAGGAGTCAGGGGGATTAGTACTGGGCCAGAGAGTTCCTCTCTACATTTGTCCCTGGACCCCAAGGCTGATGCCCTCCCCAGAGCAACTGTTAGAAGTACCAGGGTAGCTCCTCTGCTTCCTTCCTCTCAATATACATCAAAGGGCTCTGCCCCAGGCTCTTAGAGCAGAGCTCTTACTATGCATGTGGAGGTCCAGGGCTCCTATGGGCAATCTGTTTCTAGTAGGGGGTATGTCCTCCAGGCCCCACAGCTTCCTAACCCTCCTACACAACCTATGGCACCTCTTCTGCTTCTGCATTCAGCTCTTTACTCTGTGATGATGTGGTGGGCAGAGACAGTTACAGTTTATGGGACAGGACGCCTGCACTCAGGACAGCTTGCTTAGCTGCTACCTAGCTGTGTGACCTTGTTCCATCACCTGCCTTTCTGAGTTCCAGTTTCTTGTCTCAGAGGGTCCTTCTGAACTGGCGTTGCAGAATTCCTTTTTTTTTTTTTTTTTTTTTTTTTTTGATTGAGACAGGGTTTCCCTGTAGCCCCAGCTGTCCTGGAGCTCACTATGTAGACCAGGAAAAAAAAATTTCCGTGTTTTTTCCCCGAGGGGCCTTCTGAGATGGCGGTGGAGAAATTCTTTTTTTTTTTTTTTTTTTTTTTTGAGACAGGCTCTTCCCTGTAACTCCAGCTGACCTGGAACTTGCTATGTAGACCAGGCTGGCCTCAATGTCACAGAGATCCTGCTACTTCTGCCTCCCCAGTGCTGGGATTAGAGGTGTGGGCCACCATGCATGGCCCCATCTGTGACTTCTGAAGTCCAGGCTGAAGTGTCAAGCTGACTCTGGGCAAGTTTCCTTGATCTCTCTGAGCTGCAGCTTCCACAGCTGTACAGTGGGATAAGTAGTTCCTTCTTTGTGCCACAGTGAGAAAGAGTCTAACAAGTTAGGAGACTTGCCTGTGGGTAGAGCTATGTCAGAACTAAGAGTTGAACCTGAGTCTGACTATAAACCTGTGTTCCTTCTAGAAAAAAATGGAGCCTATGTAACTTTAGAAAATGTGGGTCTTTTTACGTCAGTGGAGAGCATATGTGTTCCCAGGGGCCACTGGTCAACCCCTGAGGATCTGAGTCAGGCTGAGCAGCCCAGTGCTCTTAGTTATCAAGGTTATCAAGTCACTGGGTAGTTCCTCCTCAAGGGAGGACTTTTTCATTGCTTGGGCAAGGAAAGAACCAACTCCCTGGTCTTTTTCCCATTTGTCTCCCAGAGGCCCTCTGAGAGCAAGTACCCTTTACTCTTAAGAAAGTGGCTGCTCTGTGTCTGATTCATGTCTCTGTGCTCTCTACAGCTGGAGGCTCTGGTATCCATCGTCCTGTGGCCAAAAAGGCCGTGCCTGGGACCGAATACAAGGCTAAGGTGAGAGCTGTGGGCCTCCTGGTACTGGAAGAGTGATGGAGAGGGCAAGTATACTGTGTCCTTCACCATCCTGGGTATGTACTTTCATGGAGCCAGACAGGCCAGGGAAGAAGGGGAACTCAGGTCATATGACATTTGAAGTTGGGGGCCTTAGCAAATCGCTTTCCAGGGCCAGAGAAGCTCTTTGATGCCATTCAAAGCAGAAAATGAAGGGACAAGCGAACATGAGGCTAATCAAGTCAGGGGCAGGGAAGGGGAACCCCATACTCCTGCTGATTCCAGTTTGTTTGTTTTCTGACTGTTTCTGGATGAGCAGAAGGCAAAGGGTGATATGAAGAAAAAGGGTCGTCTTGATCCCTATGCTTACATCCCGCTCAACAGAACCAAGCTCAACCGCAGGTATGGTAGCATGTGGGTGGGTAGGAGCTCCAAGTTCCACAGAGGGCAGGGCCTTTCACATTCAGCTGTCTTGGTTGTTTGGGTCTCTTCTTCTTGTTTTATTTGTTTATTTCTCTTTTACTTTTTATTGTGAGTGTGGTGTTGTATATGTGTGTACGTGGCTACATGTGCCTGTGAAGGCCAGAATCAAAGTCAGGTGTCTTCCACTATTGCTGTCCACCTTAGTTATTCTTTTCTTTCTTCCCCTTCCTCCCTTCTTCTCTCCCTCCTTCCTTTTTCTAGACAAGGTCTCACTGTGTAGCCTTTACTGGTCTGGAACTCATAAAGATCTGCCTGCCTCTGCCTCCAAAGTGCTGGGATTAAAGGCATGTGCCACCACGCTTGGCTTTTTCATGGGTGCTGGGGATCCAAGCTCAGGTCCTGGTCTTCATGGTGTGCTTGTGCAGGAAGCATTTTCTTACTGAGCCTTCTCCCCAGCCCTGTTTTTATTTCATTTTTACAGTTGTTTATTTATTTTGTATATGTATATAGAGAACAGCTGGTGGGTGTTGATCTCCTCTTCAATCATGTAGATTCCAGGGAGCAAACTCAGGTTGTCAGGCTTGGTGGCTAGTGCTTTTACCTGTTGAGTCATTTACCAGTCTCGTGTTGCTAGGGTTGACCTCATTCTCACTATCTAGCCAAGGTTGGCCTTGAACTCTTGATCTTCCTACCCTAGCCTCTCAATACAGGAGTGAGCCACTATGCATGCTTGAACTGCCTTTTAAAACCCAACCTTAGAGTCCCTCTCACTCTCAAGAGTTCTTTCTCACTTTTTTTTTTTTTTTTTTTTTTTTTAAGTAAATCTGTTTGTACTTGCGGGGGGAGATATCGCAAATTTCTGTTATATAGAGTTCTAGCATATACGCCCTCCACATTTTTTTTTTTTTTTTTTTTTTTTTGGTCTTTTTGAGACAGGGTCTCCCTGTAGCTCCAGCTGTCCTAGAACTCACTATGTAGACCAGGCTGGCCTTGAACTCACAGAGATCCACCTTCCTCTGCCTCCCGAGTGCTGGGATTAAAGGCGTGCGTCACCACGCCTGGCATATTCATCATTTTTAATAGTTTTTCATGTTTTGCTTTTTTAATTCCCCTTGTTGGAAAAATAGTTATCCCACCTTGCTCATTAATGGTGTTCTTTGGTATAGGCATGAGGACCACACAAGATGTTTAGGAGAGGAAGCAAATTGCAAACAAATGTTCCTAGGGAAATGGGGTTGTAAATGGCAGTCACGAGAAGGCTTCTGCAGATGGGCCTTTGGGGGAAGGATGGTTGGATAAAGTGAGCTTTGACTTTATCTGCAAGTTTGTTAGAGGAAGAATGGAGAAGAGGTTTCTTTCTGGGGAGATGGTGTCAAGTGCATTGAAGGGGCAAGATATGTGCTGTCTGCCCATTTCAGCCCTTTTCTCCTTTCCTTACTGGAGATGACCATCATTTCATTTTTTCTTGTTATTTTTCTATTGAGAGTAGGTTTCCTATGCAGGATTTCAAGCTGGCCATGAACTTGCCATCCTCAGCCTTCTGAGAGCTGGGACTTCAGGCATACACCAGCACACCTGGCTTCTTCAACACTATAAGGAGAGGGAGGCACCCATTCTTAGCAAGATATAACCCTTCTGTTCTTTGTGCTTCTAGGAAAAAGGTGAAGCTACAGGGACAGTTCAAAGGTCTGGTGAAAGCTGCCCATCGGGGATCCCAGGTGGGACATAAACTCCGCAAGAAGGACCATCGACTCTGAATCCCTGGGGCCCCAGGTTGGGCTTGGCTCCAACCCAGTACCAATGCTGCTTAACATCAATTCTGGGCGTGTGAGCCTGGAAGAACCTGGATTCAGAATGCCTTATTGGAACTGTGGCTTAGTTCCCAGACAGAAGGATTTCCTAGGATTTTGAAGTTCCAAATGAGAACTGTCCTTTAGAAACTGCTAGCATCCATGATGGAACCATGTAACCTTGCCACCTTCTCAGAGACCTTGAGGTACTCTGCTTTCTGCCCAAAGTCATGAACATCAGAGCATTGACCTGCAGGTGTGAGATCTGCTGTAACCAGATGTAGAATAAATGCATCATCCCTGGAAACAGTTTCATCTCTACCTCACCAGGGACAAGAACAGCATCTGGCTACTGGCCATAGTGACTTGATCCCTTCCTGCCCAACTCCCAGCAATCTGTTAACCCATAGCATGATGCTTTGCCTGGAGGTCAGATTGAACTTGCTCAGGAGTACCCATCTGTGCCAGGAGGGCTCCCTGGCTTTAGTTTGCATTCAGAAAGTGACACTAGGAGGCAGGAATGGCAGTGAATGCCCCATGGCTGGTCCTTGGACACAGGGTTGAACACCAAGGACTCGGAAGAGGCAATGGCTGAGAGCTGTCAGAGCTGCAGCTTGGCTTGCTTCTGCCCAGGGCTTGGTGTCTTTGTCCATTGATTCAGCAGTGTTACTGAGCCCCTTTCTAGGTCTAGCATAGTCTGATTTCAGCTATTCTCCCCTTTACCACATTCTTTCTAGATCCAGTTGTACAGTGTGATTCCATTGGCCTGTACTTCTAAGGTCATTTGTCATCTCGGTCCTTTTGGGTGTGCTTTCCTGGCAGGCAACAAAAGCAAAGGACTCCAGGGCCATCCCTACACTCTAATACATGGAATATGCTTTGTCTTGATTAGTAAGCTCTGGCTCATATTCTCTTCTTGTGAGATGAGACCACATACACATTCCTCAGTAGTTTCTGTTCTGGTTTAATGCCTTTGACTCTAAAAATGCTTCTTGCAGACACCAGAAACTGCTAGCAATTTTGGTAGCCTATCCCTAAACACTTCCACTCATTCTCCAAGAGGACTCAAGTTTTTCCTAGATTTGGTGTCCCCCATGTTAGGGCATTTCCTCCCTTGGGCTAACCATCTGAAGGGACTACACTTGACCAAGAGGTGGTGCAGTTTACACGCCCTGATTACCAAAAGCTGGAATGGGGGAGTCAAACATGAAAGGTGGCCAAGGGGGCTGGAGAGATGGCTCAGCAGTTAAGAACACTGGCTGTTCTTGCAGAAGACCCAGGTTTGAATCCTAGCACCCACATTGCAGCTAACAATTGTCCAGTTCCAGGGGATCTGACAGCCTCTTCTGTCCTCAGGGCACTGCATAACAAGGGTGCACTTGCCTACATGCAGATAATACACACATACACATAAAAGGAGTAAATAAAATTTAAAAAGAAATAAAGGTGGCCAAAAGAGTAAGGATTTACAAAGATTATCTAACCCCAACCCCCATTATTACCCTCTGGACACAAGGTGCATCAAATTCAGCTCAGCCAGTCCTTTCCTCACTCCTTTCTCAGAAAACAGGAGCACCTGCACTAGGAAGCCTCGCGTTAAACAGGATGGATCTGAGCCAATTGCCCAGTATTGATGTCTTTAAAAAGGAAGCTTGAAACCAGCCTGCTTATACCTTCCAAGAAACTGTTTCTTTTTTAGGGAGGAAAGGGAAGGTGACCTAGAAAGGTTAGTATTGGTGATATGCTGAATTCTGTATTTTGGAGGGAGGGAGATTTCAAGTACAAATTACCTTGATGCAGAGGTAAGTGTTAATCTACTGCCCTAGAAACTTAGGTCCTTGAAATGTGTTAGGGAAGACAGTGCTGCTTTTCTGTCAGCATGGATGGAGCCTTAAAAGTATTCCTCAACACAGTGTCCATCCCATTTCACAGCAAATAGGAAAGCTGCACGCTTTTACTAAGACCTGAGCTATTTCAGTTTATTATGATTTTGTTGATGTCAGAGTCTGAGACTTTTCCAGGCTTTCTCTTCTGGGTCCATCCTCCACTCAGAAACTGAAGAAACAAATCATACCCTACCTTGTTAACAAAAGGCAACCTCTCCACTGGCCAGCATGTCTGAGCATTGGGCTCTTGCAAAGGCACTCTAAGCAAGACATGGGTGAATCAGGTTAGGCCAGTCTTTCCCCCTTCCCTGTTTTCCTTCTCATGACTGGGGCAGAAGCTTGGTAGTGATTGTCCTGATGGATCATTGCCAGCAGTGACTATTCTCACTAGTCTTTTTTTCAGTGTGATCCCCTTCGGGAACATTGTTTTGGGAGTGTTTTGTTTTGTTTTGGTCTTTTTTCCCTGTAGCCCCAGCTGGCCTAGAACTCACTATGTAGACCAGGCTGGCCTTAAACTCACAGAGATCCGCCTGCCTCTGCATCCCTGAGTGCTAGGATTAAAGGAGTACACCAACATGTCCGGCTTTGTTTTAATTGTAATGTGACAAATTGCTTATGATATTCCAGTAGCCACTGTCTTCAGTCCTCAGAGTCCTTCCCCTGTTGTTTTCCTTCAAAGAGTAATCTAAAACATACTGTGCATTCCACATAAGGATTCGCACAACGTGAAAAAACAGAAAAGTAAAAGTAGGGCCTAGAAACCAGATTCTCAAGTAACCTTTATGTATTGCATTCTTATTTCTTTTTCCTATACTCAGGACCTACTTTTTAATATTACAAAGATGATAATATTTATTTAATATTTGGGATCAAATCCAGGGACTGCATTCTAGCTAAGTACTTTACCACTGAACTGCATCCCTAGCTCTAAGGTTTTGTTTTGCTTTCTTAATTGTTTTATTTGGCTTTAGACAAGGTCTTACTACATAGCCCTGGCTGGCCAGAACTTGCTATATAAACCAGGGTGGCCTGAAATTGATAGAGAGCCACCTGTCCCCGCTTCCCAAATGCTGGGATTACAGAGATGTACCACCACTCCTGGGTGCTATGTTGTTTTGGAGACAGGATATCACTATGTAGCCTGAGCTGGTCTCAAACTCACAGTTAGTCTTCCTGCCTCAGTCTCTTGAATGCTGGGATTAAAGGCATTTACTACCATGCCTGGCTCCCAGCCAAGAAAGTTTTAAAATACCAAATTATATTGTAAATTTGCACTTGACTATAACAAAGTTTTTATCCTACTTGGGTAAGTACTTCCTAAGTGTTGTTTTCAGTGGCCCAGTTTAAAACATCTGTCCAGTGGATGCAGTTCAGTTTATTTATAAAGGCTTTTTGAGCCCATAAGTATGTTGCTCGTTGCTGCCACAGGAATTTAAAGCCAGCACTAGATGCTAGATTGTGTGCAATATTTAGAAAATGACATGATGAATACTCTTTGTTCTATTTTTGATATTATTATGAACAGATAGACAACTGTACTTCAGAAAATAACCCTGATTTGGGACAATGTAAGCTAGTTTGCCATTTCCTGAAATTATGCTTAATGTAGCTACTGCTATTAGAAACACTTACCAGGTTGTTAGCTGACAGCCAAGTCTTCCAAGGCCAGGCTGCAGTGGCAGAGGTTGGCCCCTCTCACCCCAAGTCCCATTGATTGCTCATGGAAATGCCCAGAACTGGATTTTTTTTTCTTTGGCGACAGGGTCTCATGGAGCCCAGACTGGCCTTGAATTCCGTATGTAGCAGAGAATAACTTTGAACTTCTGATCCCCCTTGTCTCCGCCTCCCAAGTGCTGGGATTATAGGCATGCATCACCACACCCATTTATGCAGTGCTAGGGATTGAACCCAGGATTTCTGCATGCTAGGCAAGCACTCTTATTGAGCTACATGCCCAGCTCTCCAGAATGGGATTTTGAGACTGGTCAGTCATCAATGAAGTCTCAGGTACAAAGAGTATGTAGTAGTTTGGCGCTGTGTATGTATACCAGAGCTAGTTTCTGGAGATCAGAACTGAGCAGGTTCAAGAGAAAACCCGAACTCGAGCAGTCCAAATTGTTTATTCTTTTGCAATGAGAAACTTAACTACCCAAGATACAGTGACTGGCCAGGACATACTGTGCCTTGCATCAGAAGTCAAATCAGTGGTTAAGTGGTGCGCACACCTTTGATCCTAGCACTCAGGAGGCAGAGGCAGGTAAATTTCAGATCAAGACCAACCTGATCTGAAAGAACTCCATAGTGAGTTCCAGGCCAGCTGTGGATACATGAAGACTGCTTCAAAAAGACGAAAACAGTAACAAAACTGGTTAAAGTGAGTATAAAGCAGAGCAAAGGGAACCATATAGGGTTGTCACTGGAGTGGGACAGTTTTCTCTCTCTGAATATGCTGGCAGATTGGAGCTCATCCTTCTAGTAGTTTGCCTTGAACTCACCCTTTTAAGGATAGCGAACCCCAGATCTTCCTTAGACTCAGCCACTTCCCTGTGCTGCAGAGCTTTTCTGAGATTTAATTAGGCTCCAACTCCTTCACATGTGGTGTGCCTGGATTGAATTTCTAAGCCTAGCTCTTCTGGCTCTCACCAGGGAGACAGCCTGTTCCCTCTGAAGCCTTGTCAGATAACATCCTTTCTATCGTGTGGGGACCTGAATGGTTTAACTTCCAGAAAGCAGCCTGGTTTCCAGATTGCCATAATGTCACCCTAAAGACCCATTGGTACCCACTAGAGTGGACTGTTGAAAGTTAGGATTTCAGAGAGGATCCAAGGCCCGGCTGGCAGGCAGATGGATTTATGAATGGTGCCAGGAATAGCCTGTGTATCTATCACTGTAGCTCCTCTGCAGGTTGTGTGAGCCCTCGGTCTTGCTTTTAACCAGCACTGGTGTTATGACAGCTCTTAGACTTGAGGTCACAGCTCTTACAGCTGAAGTTATATACATAATGCTTAGTCTGAGCCCAACCCTCAGTAGTAAATACACTCATAAAAATTACAAGGCACAGTATCAGCCTGAGCAGATTTTACCCAGCTATGTATGTTGATTGATGTACAATAATTTTTATCTAAATATGCCCTCTTAATCATTCCAACATCAAGTTCCCCTCCTTACAGGGAGGTGGGGCACACCTCCAAAGCAAACACTCCTAGTCAGCAAGTGGCAACGCTAATATCTAGTATTATGAAGACAATTTCTTGCTCACATGAGGACTGTCACAGGATCACATATGTTCCCTTTCCTTAGGACTTCAACAGGGCTTGCTTAGCATGGGCTATGTGCTCAACCAGTCACACCTGATCCATGCAGATGGATATGAATCTTATGCACAGAGCCAGTGGCAGTTATAGCCCAAGCTTATACAGCATT